ACCAAAACTTGTATAACAGGACACATTTATGACAGAAAAACGTATGACACGTGGGTCTGTAAGCTAAAAGGACCAATGTACAATGTTAATCGTATTTTTATGCAGAAATTCGAATGAAAAAGCTGTGTACTTAGTTTGCATCAAATATTACATTGAAGCACCCCATCTGAATCAATTTTGCGCATGCAAGACTACCTTGGCTGATTGAAGCAACGAGTGACGTTCGGCTCGCCTGGACTCGAGACGCGCCTCAGCTTGATTGATTTCTTTCTGTAGCTTCTGTAAATCTCGTTGTTTGCCCGCCAATCGGCGACGAACTTCGGCCAGTTCAGTGTCTAACGCTTCAGCCCGAGACTTTAGCTCACCAATACGACCTTCCAGTTCAGCCTTTCGATGTTCTTCTTGTTCCATTTCCTCTTTGATTTTTTTCTCTTGTTTCTTGCACTTGTCCATCTCTACCTTCTCCGCGGCCACGGTCTCTTCCCATCGTTTGACGCTCGCTGATTGGTGGAACAGAGAAAGCGATTATGAACGAGACAAACGAACAAAGTTTTAGAGTATGGTGGGAAGAAAAGAATAGCTGGCTCAAATTTTGTTGTTCGACAGATAACGGACGACAGCAGTCGTGGGTTGCTAGGGGAGCAGATCCCACTGAGGCTTCTGATTTTTTACAATTTAAACATAAGAACAGATTGTAGCTGTCTATCAGATTAGTTATAAGACTTCCAAATCGATTCTCCACGTTGTATAGATCCCATTTAGAAACCGTTTGAATTGATGCTTTAACTCTGTTTCGTTATGTGGTCGAAATTCACCCACTACTTGTATGTTTCTGAGGGTTCCGGGTGGCAGTAACTGGTTCAATGAGTGTTTGTGTTGCGTTAATCTTCCAAACTGAAACCGCGTTCGTAGGGTGATTTCGAGCCGACAGTTGGTTCTACGCAGTGGGAACAGAAGCAATCTGAAAAAGTGAGAGGGCATCAAGCCGATAGACGTCACTAGATTATGCCTGAGTGTACACTCTGATAGATGATGACCCAGATGACTCATAATAAATCCAGAGATGTTGCATTCCCAGCTGAAGATAACAACATTAGTGTGAGCCGAATGTTGTCGAAAGAAAAACATTTGGGAGGTCTCTCTGGTTTCCATTTATGCTGTGCGTATAGCGGAAATAGACTCCGAGAAGTATGCATAGACCTACTAGTACGGACGTCCGAGTTATCGCATTTCTGACGTCCCCTCGTCCGTTCAGCGATACACTCGAATTGATAACATCGCAATCAGCCAAGCATTGTAGGACTGTGTTATGGCTCGTACGAGTTTGCTTGAGCTAACTCTCACCAG